TGATCAACCTCTCACCATCATGGCCACTTGAAAGAGAAATCCCAGAAGAAGTCTGGACAGGACGAAAAGCGACCTATGATCACCTGAAGGTATTTGGATGCCGAGATTTTGTGCATATCCCTAAAGATGAAAGGGCGAAGCTCGATGCAAAAACAAAAGAATGTATTTATCTCGGTTCACCAAAATCTGAGTTTGGATTTCGACTCTAGGATCCAATCAACAATAAGATAGTGAGAAGCCGAGATGAGATATTTCATGAAGATGAGACCATTCATGACATCTCAAAGCCCAAAGTCCGGGTTTCTGTCAGACGTGAAGAACCCATTCCTCCTGTCCGAGCTGAAGTAGGGGGAGAAAATCGAGAGAATGAAGAAAATGATGGCCAGCAACAAGCTGATGATGACCAAGAGACTGAGGTCTGAGTTGATGATGAGATCCGGGATGAGAATGATGAACCGAATTCTCAAGCTGAAGAACAGCCGAGATATCCAACTCGAGAAAGAAAACCCTCTACAAGATACCCATCTGATGCATACACCGTTGTTGCTGAGGACGGTGAGCCTCAGAGTTATGATGAGGCTGTGACGAGCTCATACAAAGAAGAATGGGAAAAGACAATGTAAGACGAGATGAAGTCTCTGCATGAAAATCAGACTTATAAGCTAACTGAGTTGCCTGAAGGAAGACGAGCTCTGAAAAATAAATGGGTCTACAAAATTAAGAATGAAGAGAACGGCCAGAAGCCGAGATACAAAGCCAGAATTGTAGTGAAAGGCTGCAATCAGAAGAAAGGAGTAGACTTTGAGGAGGTTTTTTCTCCTGTGGTAAAAATGATCTTGGTCCGAACCGTGTTAGCCATGGCGGCTTTGATGGACCTCAAGGTAGAACAAATGGACGTGAAGACGGCATTTCTTCACGGTGATTTAGAAGAGGAAATATATATGGAGCAACTTGAAGGGTTCCAAGCTCCAGGACAAGAAGAGTTAGTATGCCGATTGAAGAAGAGTCTATACGGCTTGAAGCAAGCACCTTGTCAGTGGTACAAGAAATTTGAATCTTTTATGACGGATCACAAGTTTATGAAGATTGAGGCCGACCACTGCGTATTTTTCAAAATGTATGAGGCCGGAGATTTTCTGATCTTGTTGTTACATGTTGATGACATGCTTATTGGAGGGAAAGACAAGTCGAGGATAGCCGCCCTAAAGAAGGCGTTGAGCTCATCCTTCGCGATGAAGGACCTTGGCCCTGCAAAACAGATTCTCAGAATCAAGATAATCCGAGATAGACAAAAGAAGCTATTGTGGCTAAGTTAAGGAAAATACATTGAGAAGATTTTGAAGAGATTCAGCATGGACAAAGCCAAAATAGTGAGCACCCCTTAACTGGACACATAAAGCTGAGCCAGAAACAATGTCCGAGATCTGATGAAGATAATGATGAGATGTTGAGGATCCCATACCAATCTGTCGTCGGAAGCTTGATGTATGCAATGGTTTGCACTAGACCCGACTTGGCATATGCTATTGGAATGGTAAGCCGGTATTTGTCAAACCCTGGCAAAAAGCATTGGGAAGCAGTGAAGTGGATCTTCAAGTACCACCAAGGTACAACCAACTTATGCCTCCGATTTGGAGAAGGCAAAGCCTACTCGGATACTGATTTAGGGGGAGACGCCGACTCAAGGAAGTCGACTACAGGATACTTGATGACTTTTGTAGGAAGAGCTATCTCCTGGCAATCAAGACTACAGAAGTGTGTGGCACTTTCAACAACCGAGGCTGAGTACATTACCGCGACTGAGGCAAGCAAAGAGATGTTGAGGATGAAAAAGTTTCTCATGGAACTCGGCCATGATCAAGACAAGTACGAGCTGAAGTGTGACAACCAAAGCGCAATTTATCTTGCGAAGAACTCAACCTATCACTCCCGCACTAAGCACATTGATGTGAGGTATCACTGGATCAGGGATGTGCTGGAAGGTGGAGAACTCAAACTTGTCAAAGTGCACACTAATCAAAATTGGTCCGACATAATGACAAAACTAGTACCAGCAAGAAAATTCGAAGACTGCTATGAAGGTGTCGGAATGATGCTGATCCCGACGCATTGAAGTCAGAAGGGGGAGATTTGTTGGAAGTTGTTCCTCCTTTAATGCTTGGCTCAAGTACCAAGAGGTTGGAACTCTTCACTTTTGGTGCAAGGCTCAAAGGTCATAACCTTTGGGTGGTTCAATGTCTCTCCATAAATAATGGTGCAAGGCTCAAGAGTCATTAATGAAGGTGCAAGGCTCAAGGCTTATTAATGAAGGTGCAAGACTCAAGGAACACATCCTTTGAGTGGTTCAATGTCTAGAACCATCTCCCTCCCCTATATAAGTATGTAGTGTGTGAGGTTGAGTGATGATGTGAGAAAAATGAGAAAAAGAATCTGAATACCTCTAGAGAGAAGTTTGAGTGAGACCTGTTTAGAGAAGTTTGATATTACCACCATACTTGGTGATGTTTGATTGTACCTCTAATGAAAGGTTAGGCCTGTTTGATTGTTGTAACTCATTATTCTTATAGTGGATGTTTGATTCTGGACTAGTGTCCCGTGAGTTTTTACTTCTTCACATTGAAGAAGATTTTCCCACGTTAAACAAATTGTTTGTGTTCTTCTCCATCTCTCTCCTCTTGCATTTTTTGTTTCGCTTCCACAATTGACTTGAGGGTCCGATTTGACCCAATAACAGTGAGTATTGTGTGAGGTAAAAGTTTGGCAATGGCAAGATCTACAAAGTACAAAGGGCCATTGCTTGTCCCTTCATTTCTCAATTTCGTGTCATTGTGATTTGAGTACCCAAAGGAGCCACGTTGGATTTATTGCACGACACAACACGATGCCATTGTTTAGGTATTGCCTATAAAAAATGTCTCACTAAATTCGGTCCATTCTCTCTGCAACCGCACTGCCCAAACCCTATCTTTCATTTATCCGCGTACAATGATGAACCCACACACTCGACAATACGCTTGATCATTCTCCAACCAAAAGAACTTGACACTAAAAGTGTCAACTATCAACTTTGTTGAGCTAGCTACATCCTTTTATGGAGAAAAACTCCCAACGTATACGGGGATGACATACCCTGAGCTCATATCTTCACCTGATTTAATCCTACACTTCAACAAGATTAATAAATGAGAAATGTGAAGCAACATATAATGTGTAAGAAACAATATTTTTTTATAATTTAATCCATATATGAGTCTGAGTTTAATTTTTTCCATTGATAGTTGAGATAAATTTACATTATTTAATTAATTATGTATTTAAGCTTTACTAAAAAAAAGTCCGTTTTTTTACTAAAAAAAATTCCTTTTAAGTTTAATTTTAATTGACTCAAGTAAAAATAATAAAAAAATTTATCACTCAATATTATATTAATATATTATTTAATGAATATGATCGATAATAATGGTGGGTTGTTAAACTCATTAAATTATATAACAATGAATCATTAAAAAAAAATTGTAATATGTTATTATTATTATTATCAGCATCATCATTGTTATTATTATTATTAGATAAGATGTGAAAGCAACACAAAAAATTGGGAAGAACAATGGTGCGAGGAGGGAGTGGGATGGTCGCTCCTTTCAAATAGCGATGGAATGAAAGAGGGGTTATATGGGGCGATCGTCCCCCTTTAATTTTATGCAAACATTTAGATTCGAACATTTTTTATAATTATATAAGTAGTAATTGCCTTCCCTCAAAACTTACAGAAACATTTCTTTGTGAGCACTATTTTTATTTTTATTATTATTATTTTTTTTTTGTAAATATTTTTATTTTTTTATCATGTAAATAGTTATGACTTCAATATATATATATATATATATATATATATATATATATATATGTGTGTGTGTTTGTTTTTTGCAATCTCACCCCCTCATAAAATTTTCTTCCTTTGTCAAAAGAATGAGTTAAATCATGTAAACAAAGCCTAAAAAAGTAATTATGATTATAGTAAACCATTTTTTGCGTAAATATTTTTTTCTTTCTCAAAATACATTCCTTTCTTCATTACTCTTGATATATTTCCCTTTATTTAATTTTTACATTTAGAAATAACTGAATTTTGTGTTTTCTTTAAAAAAATATATATTAAAGGGTTTAATGTCTTTCTTATAAATAGGAAATAACTTTATCTATTGTGCTAGCACTTTTTTGGTGCAGCGGTAGCACCTATATCTGTCTAAAAGGAGTAAAAAAAATGGATTTTAATGGAAATAAATTTAAAAATATATGGATTAAAATGAAAAAAATTCTTCTTTTGAGAAAAAGATGTACCTAAAATTTTCTTCTTTTGAAAAAAAGATGTACCTAAATAAGTACATCTGTTGCACAATAGAAATTTCACTTTTGTACATGTGAATAGACTCCACCTTTATCTTTTTATTTGCAAAAACAATATTAATCCCTACATTAAAATAGTAGGATCCTTCAAACCAATTATTCAATGTAATTTAAAAAAAAAAACGATAGAAAGTCGCTAGAAGGGACTTTCCAATGCAAAAATCAAATGAAACATTTTTAAAAATAATGAAAAAAAAAAATTGAGAAATAAAAAAAAATTATTTCCTCAAATACACTGAGTGAAAATAATTTAATTCGAAACTTTTTCAACTTTCTGCGTACTTTTTGTTTTTCTGAAGGGGATGCTTTTTACACGATTAAATAAAAATTTCAAAACACTAAATATGGACGATTATAATGGTCCAGTAGTTAATTACATTCATTTCTAGAGGTTACAGATTTCAAATTCAATCAACATAAAGTTGACTATTTATTAGTCTCAGTGTAATCGCGTTGTTAGACCTAAATAGAAATATCATAAACAAATATAAATAAAAGAAAAATAATGTATTGTATTAATTTCAAATATTCGTATCTGTAATAATAAAATATATTTCATTAATTTTTTTTAACAAAAAATTATTACAGCAGTATATAAATCTAGTTATTGGCAAAATGACGTAGCTAATTTCTTTGTAGAAAGATCGCTACCTCCAAGAGTACTTTTAAGTTAGAGAATCCCTCGGTTATTATTTACTGCTCCGGAGCTCCCTACTGATAATAATTTCAACCCGGCCTTTCCCATGACTTTCTACATGATACACCAGAGTTTACATCATTACAATGGTTAGATCCTTTTTTCACATAAGAGTCGGTCTCCCTACAACTATTGTTGCTGCTAATCCTACCATTACCTAACTTTCTATGCTGTAAAGTTGTTTGAGAATGCAAAAGAGAAACACCTCCCCCCCTCCTTTCAACATCCACCAGTCTGTTCCGGCATAAAGGACCATCTATCTCCGCACTTGAGCCAGTGGGAATTCTCAAACCAGTTGAATCTGGAGGAACTGAATCATACCGGTCCATATCAGATAGGGGCGAATTTCCAGAGTTCAAGGGAGAAGATGAGGAGGAAGAGGAAGTGTCATAATCGGAATTCCTCCACATGCTACTCCAGCCATGCCCTGAATCACCAAAAATATAATCGGATAGATCATCCGTGCTGGTTGAATCACGGGTGCTATCAGTACTGCAAGAGCCTTCATCAGAATTACTGCTGATAAGGGATGAATTATCACTTGATGAGTCTTCTTCTAAAATCCTTTTCAGGTGGTGAAACTTTGAATAGAAAGACTCTAAGTCAGGTGAGCCATCTGGCGCCATCGAACCACTTATATATTCAGCAGCACCGGGATTTGTAGATCTCGATTTCATTTTAAGAGCCATTCCATCGTCGACTTTGCATTTTGAATCTGGGGATAGTATCCTATTCCTGATTAATCTTGGGGCTCTTGGGGAGCACCTACAAGGTGATTCAACTAGTCAGAAAAGCGGGCAAGAGACAATAAAATTAAAAGGAACCTTGACACCCCACCCCCAATATTTTAAAAAACTGGCCGGTTCAACTGGTCAGCCCATGAACCCAACATGTTTATGGTCCAATTATTTCTAATCATGTCGGATGAACCATTGAATTAGTCCATTGAACCCAATTGAACCATGACCAAGACCTCTAGCTATTTTGATCTCTGGTTCAGTTTTTAAAACATCAATACACTCCCCACAACCCAAAATAAATAAATAAATAAAATAAAATAAAATAAAAAATCAGGAAGGTTACCTCGCATAAAAAAGCATGTAAGCTCCTTTTGTCAAAACTCTCTCCGATTCAACAGCGGTCACCTGCAAGACATATAGGAGATGGTTCAACTATGTACAACATTACTGTCACTCAGTAAGAACAAACTCTCAATAAATCCTGTGAATGGCATATCCAAAGGAACTCTTTCACATAGGTGCATCCGACAGGAATGACTAATGAGTAATAACCACATAAAATTGTTGTAGATTTCCTTCTGTTTTGTAATAAAACATTGATTTGAAGACACGTTCACCCACAGAGAACTTGACAGTTCTATCCCAGGACAAAATGATTTGGGAGGAAAATGGCCAAGGAAGCCTTCATTCCTGGACCTCTTCCCCACCTTTGTCATTTGTCTACCTTGCATGATGCTGCTACTGCTAAGAGGTTAAGGCTTTTGTTTGTACCATGCTAGTTAATAAAATTAATATTTAGTCTTCTTTTGTATAAAAATCATAGAACACAGCTTACATACTCAAATGTTTATTTCATATTTGTACAGCACTCATGATAAATTTTTGGTAATACATTTAGTTTATGAACTTACAGGAAGGACTATGGACTACTAATTAAGAAAAGCATAAATCTAGAGAAGTACATTTAGGAACCAAAAGAGATGATCTCTCAAGATATGCGAACAAATGGAAACTGATGGACTTACCACACTGTCATCAACCTTGAACCACTTGTTTTGGATACTCTTCACATAGCACACATAGTGACCCGAAAAGGCAGCATTCATGATATCCAAGTGTACAATTACCCCATACAATCTGTATATGGGTGATTTATCACTAGTCCCACTCATGAAAGGTGCCAAGTCAAGTATTTCAGGAAAGCGAATAGGCTTGTTGAGCTTCCCAAATTTTCCAGACTGCAACACAAATGTAGCAAATATAAGATAAACTCTGCATACAGGCTGCATACAATGTAGGCAATACTTGTCTTCGAATTTAACAGATGAAATACCTGAAATCTCTTTAATGCAACTGTAAGAACATTGGGTGCCTCGGAAACTGTCAGCTTCTTCTTGGCCTTCTCATAAGATTTACATCTTAAAATGAAAATAGTTTATTAATAATAGTTTATTAATAATAGTTTGCATCTTAAAATGAATACTAGAACTCTGATAGAACTGGATTCAATAACAGAATTTAAGAGAAGAAAACATATAGGATTGCACTGTAACTATTGATATCAGTATGATAACAGTAGAGGTGTGGTGTGTTTACAACGAAAACAAAAGAAAACGGACAGCAAGGGCATTTAAGAGGCCCTGACTCTCCCAAAATCTCTAAGATAATTCTTGCCTACCTCCTCACTCCTCTCCCTCTCTGTTTAACATTTACCATTCCTTGCCTTACAACTATTTTTCCCTCCTAAACTTAGCCGCACCCATTATTTGCCAAGGGTTGTAATCCCTTGTATACACCTTGGTGATAGGTGGTTTCCTAACAAACACCAAATAACATTCCAATGTCTTGGAACTCCAAAATCCAAATAATATGCAAAAGTTGAAAACATTTACACCGAAAGAAAGGAAAGATAAAAAATAAAAAAAAATAAAAAAAATAAAAAAATAAAATAAAAAAAAATAAAAAATCAGAAGAGAAAGAATAACATGTATTATTTTTTTGTTTTATTTTTTAACTTTTGGCCACTAGAACCTGATTTTTTGTGAAAACCTAGTGTCACAACTTGATGGCCACTAAAACAGAACTTTGTACAACTGATTTGAAAGATTGTCTAACAGACCAATCATAATTGGTAAAAAAGCGTAGTTCCTTTTTTTCAGGGTGTAAATTTGAGCACATTATGTGATGCTTCTATGTACAGCTCAAGATAAAATGAAATCAAAGAGAACAATGCATTAAACAATGAATCATGAAGAGAAAAGATTTTAATCAAAATCATAGGTATTAAGTTCCAACTTCCAATTTAATGAAGATCACTAAAAGCACTTCCCGTGATCAAATACTGCTAAAGCCAAAGGATTCATATTTGACTAAATGAAGGTAGGCCGTGCACAAGCCATTGTGGTTTCCCTTATTTTGCAATATAAGAGCCATTTTAGTAATATCATCACAATCTTTTGTTAACCTCGATGAAATTCTTAATAGCAAGCATGATTATTTTGCAAACTTCATTTACAATTGTCTTAAAAAATGATTCAAAAAAACTATTGAGTATTATTTCGAGAGGGGGAGCTACTCTTCTCTTTGACAGGAGACAGCTAGTCATGTGTGAAATCAAACCTCTAATGTGACCATTCAGGAACCCTAGGCATGAAACATTTACTCCGATCAAATTCAATTACCAGATCATATTATCCAAATTTAATGTAATGCCAACAATTCAATGCTATCAAACAAACAGCTATACTATTATTAGAATTAAGAAGTTCATTCCTTGGAAAACCTGATTCCCTATATTTTGACTTTTATCTGGAGAATATCCAACAATAGCTTCCATTGAATGAATAATGGATCCGGATCCTAAAAACAACAATGCTCTAAGAGTAAGAATCCTTCAGTCCCCCAACTCTTCCTATGAATATACTGTTCAAAGCATCCAAACAGCCACAAATCATGTCCTAAATCACCATAAGAGTGGTTGCAAAATACCCTTAGCCCCATCATTCCCACAATAAACCTTCAATTATCCCAGTTTCTTACTCATAAGTCCTGAAGACCTGACCTTGTCCTGAGTCAGGTACGGACCAGACAATAAATCTGTTATTCTAGCATGCCCTTTACCTGGCCTGGGAAAAAGATAACCAACATAGAGTGAAAATATCCCATCCAACATCAAAACTGTAATCACTAATGTATTTTTTGGAGTAATAATCAGTCAATCATAATAATGAAAGTAATGGTAATATATATAAGACCCTTGGCCCGGGTATATTCTGGAGGGAAGAAGGGTGGGCTGCAAGTGAATGAAAGGAGGAATAAGGGGGAGGCTAGGTGATCATTACTAACAGCAGGGGAAGGGACAAAAGAAGAATCAGTTAATGAGAAGTTGTGAATAACAAGAAGCTAGCATACTCTGAGTGGAGAAGAGGAAGATCATGGTATCACACCAGAAAGCAAGGAAAGGCACAAAACAGCGAGGGAGAGGACAGTAGAGCATTCAGGAATTGTGATGATTCAGAAGGGATTTTTGGATAAGGGGAGAAGGTCTAGAGCTTCTTCATATCTGCAGTGACTCTGCGGACTCTTCTTCTTTTCCTTTTTTTTTTTTTTCATTTTCTGATATTGATTTGTTTCTGTTGCTGAGGGATCACAGAGACCTTGTCAGGAACTAGTCTCCATATTTTCCCAAAGAAATCCAGGTTCCTATTGTATGTTGAGATTGAAAGCTTTCAAGAATCGAAAAAATCAACCAACCTGACACAGTGGTACTTGTTTTCTCCATCCAAAGTTTCTGTGCTTGTAAACCTTCGAAGGGCCTCCTCCAAGGTTGCTATCTCCCCTTCTATCTCAACAGTCAGATCCATCATTCTTTCCTGACGCTCAGACTTTCCGCCACATTTCATGCATTTTATCTGCCAAATGTAGGTGTATATTCATTGTAATCAATAGATGATATAGTGACAGTAATAATAGCATCATCTATTTCAAAGACATTACAACACTCTATTGCACCTATGACTTGGAAAAAAAGAAAACCATAATATGTAGTTGTGTATTACTTTTCCAGATAGAAATATAAAATTACCTTTGATCGAAGGTAGCCTCCAAATGTTAGACCCATTAAAGTAGTATCTTCTTCCAATGAGCCCGACGCATTAACCCCAGCTTCCATAAGGCAAACGGATTGCATTGTGTCAATAGCATGCCTGTCAAGTATAGTATGCCATATGATTCATTAACTTAAAATGAACTACAAAACAATTATCATGATATATTACACAGATTAAAAGGTCTAAAAAAATACCTTAAAAATTCATGTGCATCTTCTTCTTTGCCATTACCAAGCTGACTCCCAATACTCTGTAGTTGAGAGAGTATACCTATAGGAGACAGTGTAGATTTTGTCTCCTTTGACTTTAAAATCAAACCTTCAAATTCACAGGTGAAACACCATTTTTTATTTGCACCTGAAATTTACATAGGACATATTTTACCCCAGGAAACAGTTACAACAGGTAGTATTTAAAAATACAGCATATCATGATTCTGTGATAGAAATTCTTATTGCATACATACATGATTTAGAATGTAGTCCTTGAAGCCAATAAGCAGTAAGAGGTGGTGTAAATGCTAAGCACTGAAGTACAGCATTCGCATAACAACTGCAAAAAATGGTTGACAAAATTAAAAAAAAAAAGTAAATTCTACACAGTGGAAGAGAAATATATGACCCTTATTGGCAAGGAAAGAAGAAAATAATACACACTTCTTTACATTGTAAACATATAAATCCACATATAAGCATGAACTGATTGTCCTGTATCATGTTTATCATAAACAAATAATTTCAAATTACCTATTTCCACAATTTATAAGACCAAATGGCCGCAACTCCGCCTTGTTTGAGTTATAAAGCTTGACGAATAACTCATATGAAAAAGGACCCTGCAGCAACTATAAATGTAAGGCAACAGTAACTCAAGGTACAAAAGAATGAAAAAAGATTTGTTCAAGAAGAACCTTGTCACTGTATCTTCCAGCAATATCACTCCCAACAGCTAGTGGAACACGCTTTGACAAATTCGATCCTCTAAACTGATCAACAACTTTTAAAACAGAGGTTTTCAAGCCACTCTTAGAATTTGCAGAACAGCTAGCAACCTGAGAGGAAGTGACAGTGCCAGATTCAAGGCCATTATTCCCATGTTTTGTATTGGAATTGGAATGCCCTTCAGTTCTAGAAGCTAAATTAGAATCAGGAAGTTTGCGTGTCAGGCGTCTAAGTTCAGCAGATTTCGAGGTGCTGCTACTCTTGTCCACAACATAATTTGATACCATAGAGCCAGCTGATTGCAAGTTATGGATGCTCAAAGCATCTGCACAACCTGGATCTTTGCCAACACTGGAGGATTGAGGGGAGAAAGAAGATAAAGGTGGCCCACAGCTGTCTTTAGATTCCAATCGATCAGATTCAGAGCCCCTTGGAGTACCGTAGCTCATAACATTGGAATCTTTGCTGTTCATGAATGGAAAATTCCTTGCCTCCGAAGAATTCATGCTGTCATTCTCTGATGATGCTGATCCTGGGCAAGGCATATTTTTCCTAACAGAGTTTGGGAAAGCATCATTAGAAAGAGAACCCTTTGCCTCAGTAGGTCGTACATGCAAAGGAGGCATGGCACTGAACGAAAAGTGAAATGAAGATCCAGAATCAGTCTTTTCGCCAGTGGAATCATCAGAATGGGATGGACGAGTGTCATTATTAGCATCATCTTTAATCCCTCTAGAATCAAGAGTTTTATCCCAGAATCCAGAATACACTGCAGAAGACTCAACTGTTTCCCCCTTCCACATACTCAAACCTGAAGTACCATTTGATGCAAGCATACTCTCTTCTTTACTGGAACCAGGTCTGGTTTGATTTAGTTTATGCATTGAAGAAAAACCATCTACTGAATCAACCAAACTCGCAAACTTCGGTGAAGAAGACATGGCTACACCCATGGTATTATCACTTGAAGTGATATCAGAAATGTCAAGGGTGGGATCAACAAAAATATGTCCCTCTGATCTGTCATGCTCATTTGAGATGACACTCTCACCGACAGAGGAATCATCAGACGATCCACTTGAATTAGTGGAAGCTGAGAATCCAGAAAATTCAGAATTAGAATCTGTTACATTCCCCTCTTTATGCGATTCGACTCTAATATTATCATCCTTTCCAAATGAAACTTTTGGAGAAAAGCTGGTATCATAAATTGGAGGTTTTTTAGAGGATGTTTTACACTCTGTGTCTTCACTTTTAGACTTCTTGCCATGGATTCCAGAGTAGTCTTGCTCTGCTACCTTCCTGCCAAGATCACTTATTACATTATCACTCTGGTGAGCTGTGCTGGGAGAACGGCATTCTAATTTGTGACCTTGACGCCAATGAACAGTTTGGCACTCAAAAGAACTGAAACACGTGAAACCAAATGTATGTAAGACAGACAATTTACCTAGTACACAGATAGAAATATGCAGAGGAAAAGCAATGAATTGGAAACCCAGAAATACAGAATGTCACAGTCAGCTCAATCATTCAACATGGTTTGTAAAAAAACAAAATCCAAGTAGTAGAAGGGGACCTTAAACAAAGGGAATCACGAATGGAAAAACCCAATTATAATACTATATTATCCAAACTTGAGAAGAAAAACTATAAAGAAACATTTTCTCTTCCAAAAGGATCCTATATAAAATCTTCAACCACAATCTCACCACCTATCAAACGTTGCATCGTGTATTTTACTTCCACAGTTCCACTGGCAATAACCATCATTTTGAAGAAAGGAACAGCCAACTGACATGTACCTTAATTATGTTCAAGAATGGGCTGCATGGTTGAAGAGCTCCTCTAGTGGATGCAAAACAAGCCCAAGATTTTTGTATATTTATCTTTGTGGCTCATAATACATAAATGCAAACTTAACATATTGTTGTTTAGCAAAAAACACAAGAGATGCACTCCTGATAAGGAGATCAAAATTAGTATTCCCAACAATAAATAATAAATGTACTGCACGGCAACTTGTAATCATGAAACTCTAAAAAAAGGAACCCAGAAACAACCAGAATCCATGCCATACAAAAATAAATAAGTAAATAAACGAATTGTTTAGCACAACTTAGGAAATGAAGCACCAAGTGAATAATTCGACGCTAGAACGCAGGAACAAGAAAAAAAAAAAAAAAAAGTGAACGCACCAGTAGCGAACCAATTTGCACTGAGAGCAGCGCGCAGTGGCGGGGAAATAGCACACGGCGCATTGGTTGTTCTGAGTGGCAGAAACCGCCGCGCCGTACACATATGAAGCCTCTCTTTCGGCCCTGGCAGTTTCCTCCGCGGCCAAAATCAAAAGCCTCTTGATCTCCTCGTTCCTATCCACCGCAAGCTGCCATTTACGGCGAATTACAAAGCCGATCACCGGCAAGACCACAAAAACCACCACAAGGACCAGGCTCGAAAACCCTAGATCCCCGGTGACACGCATTTATCATGCACCCGATTCACATCCAGCAAAGGCAACAGACGCTAAATTACTATGATCACAACGACACATAGATGTTTTCAGCGGCGGCGTAACAGCCTAAAAAGTCCCCAACCCAACCCAACCCCTTCAGTGATTGGACGGTGACGAATATGCGGCAACCCGTGACGGTGAGATTAACGAGGAAAGCCGAATCCGCAATCACAAGTTACGAATGTAAGTTGTTCGCGTTAGCAAGTAAACTCAGAACGTCACTGAAAATTGAAAACGACGGCGCAGAGAGCAGAACAAAACAGAACAGAACAGAACAGATCTCTCGTGGTTAGATTCGGACAAGGCGAACCAAATTGATTTGCTCGGTTCGGATCAAGAGAGAGAGAGAGAGAAAGCGCGGTAAATGTAAATAAAGTTGGGTTGGGTTGGAATAAAATATTGAAGGTTACGGAACTAGAGAGATTGATTGTCGAGGGAAAGGAATTTGGTTGTTGGAAAGAGTGAATTCTTGGTTCACCTCAAATATTCGCATCCCGAATCTCGAAAACCGGTTTGATTCCGGTTCAGTTAGTTGGAATGGAGGAAAAAGCTGAGCAGTGTGACTTGGAAGGTTGCCTGGCCTGCCACTGCACGTGAAAGTGGGGCCTCGGTAGGAGCGTCCCCAATACGGATTGATTCTGATGGTTTCCGATTCGGGGATCAGGCGGTGGAGATTGGACTTGGGTTTTGGAACCATGTGTCTCTGATCTAATCATAAAAATCACTTCATTCTCTTTCTTTTCCTGTAATAAAAGAGATTCTACGGAATTAACCATTTTACAAGTAATTGTCTGCTTAGGTGTGGGACGGTACTTGCCATATAGACAACTATAGCTTCTGATTATAAGGAAAGTTATACTTGACTTTATTAACAAGAAATTTTCTTACAATGGCTTGATTTTTTTATGATTAATTAATTGACTGAGATAATTATAGGGATGGATTGGTGACTTACAGTTATTCTTCGTAGACAATGAGCGATATTTTAATATATATAAGAAAAAAAGGAAAAACAAGTGACATTTGACTAGGACCGGTGCATCAAAAAGCATTAATGAGAAACAAGAATAAATGCGTTAGTGTAACTTGATTCAAAATGGAATAATTGCAATACATTTCATGACAAACGTTTTACTGCTCATTTTGGACCGTCGTAGTTAGAAAAGGACATAAAATAGCATTAACGATTGCAAGAAAAATAAAAATAAAAATAAAAAAGTTGTCTAACGTGAAACGCACAATTCCATTGTTGCACCAAGAGCAACCATCACGACGAGGACCAAAAGATGAGATAAATGTATTTTACTGCAGTAAGTCAATAACACTATTAAAAAAATTCTAGCAAGAGAAAATTATAGTTTGGTCATGTTTGAGGTTTTCAAAAATGTTGACTAATGAATTCATTTTTCAAAGTATTCTGCATCTAATATAATTTTTAAGACTGGTCTTTACGGGTCAGTTTCTTCCGAGTTTAGGTTAAAAAAATTTCAACTGATCAGGTTTAATCGGTTGGTTTAGCTTAATTTTTAAATGTTATTTGAATTGGATTATTGTGTTAAAGTAAAAGCATAAATAGTTTTTATTTTTAGAGTAAATACCATTTTGGGTCTTTGACAAAAAATATGGTCCCTATTTTAGTTCTTTACAAAAAAATTACTCTCGAGATCCCTAAGAAATTTAAAGTGGATCCATTTAGTTGAAATCGTGGTCCTCACAAATTCAAAAAAGATCCATATTAGTCCCTCAGAAGAACTAATATGGATCCATTTTGAATTTCTTAGGGACCTCGAGACTATTTTTTTGTAAGAGACTAAAGTGGAGACCGTATTTTTTGTTAGGGACCCAAAATGATATTTACTCTTATTTTTTTCTAAGTAAATACCATTTTTGGTCCTCAGCAAATTTCACGATATCCGTTTTAGTCCCTAGCAAATAAAAAAGTCCATCGTGGTCCCTAAAAAATTCAAAATGCACCCCTTTTAGTTCTTTTAGAGACTAATATGGATTTTTTTGAATTTGTGAGGGACCACGATTTCAACTAAATGGGTCCATTTTAAATTTTTTAGGGACCACGATGGGCCTTTTTATTTGCTAGGGACTAAAACGGACATCGTGAAATTTGATGAGGACCAAGAATAGTATTTACTCTTTTCTTTTTTTCGTCCTCATTTATTATTTTTTAAATTTAAAATTTTGAGCTTTTTATCACTGAGATAAAATATTGAATTCTCATTTTTTAATGATCCGATATAATAATCAAATTGATTTTAAATATTGATGTTATATTTCACTCATATTTAACTCTCAACAAGTATACTTTTATGCATTCATTAATCTCTTTACTCGGTATAATAATAAAATTTTATGATAAATATAATTCTAGTGAAAATATTAGAATGAATGAAGAAGAGGTAGAAGTAGAAAAAAATAAAAACTTAATTACTAAAATTTAAAATGTATACCTTTAAAATTTTAGAAATAAAAAATATTAATTGGATAATTAGATAAAAAAATCAGAACCTCCTGTCAAAAAATGTGAATTTGGAAATTTAATCAATAATAATAAGTTTAGATTGAGCTAAACATTAATTTCATTTAGATTGTTAGGTTAATCGATGAATCCATCACCATTGAATAAATCTTTAGTGTTACTGTTGTACAAAGATTCAGTGTATTCCATCAATAAGAGCATTACACATCATAGGAGAAAGAAAAAATTTGACAGAGAAAAAAAAAATTAGCTGACATATAATATTTCTATTGATGAGATATACTAAATTTTAATTTTTGATACAACAGTAACAGCAGCACCAAAGATTTATTCATCGTCATTTGAACACCTTGGCTTTGCAATACGAAACGTGTATCATTATGGCGTCATCACGCTTCATGCATGTCTTTCCAGCTGAATTGATTCCGAGAACTACTAGCTACTAAGTAATTGATTCATGGATTAAAGAATGTGATAACTACTAACTAGTTACCTAATAAACCAAAATTGACTGAAGATTTGACCACTAATAGGCGTTATTTGATAAATGGGGAAAATGCAAAAAGTAAAATGCTTTGTTAACAGTATCTTAGTTAAGAAATTAGAAATATTAAATATTAAATAAAAATGCATAATTTAATATTAGAAACTCAAAACAAATCTATTATTAAGTAATTAGAAGCACTTAATATGAGATATATCAAATGCTTCTAGTTCTCAATAAATACTTTAAGGTAATTGTCAACAAAATCCTAAAATTAAAAAAAAAAATATTTGATAATATTACTTTGTAGTGGGAAGGGTCACGGTGAATTGGTTAGCTTTGGTTTGCAAGGGTCCTACTCCTACAAGATTACGCACTCCATTGAATAGAAAAGGAAAGGACGATGAGGTTCGTCGTTTGGTAGGCTTTTAGGTTAGAACATTGCTCAAAAAAGAAAATTCGTTGTTTTCTGGGTTACCCAACTCACGCGATTTATCTTCCTATGTATTATTAGTCTATTAGGTCACTCTTAACTTGATGTCCAGTAATGACATCATCCATTTTTTTTAGTGTTAAAGTCAATGTAGCTCTCAAGTGGGGGAGTCTATTATTTTCCTTTTGCAGTTAAATGGCCCAGTTTATATTATATATATCTGGGTTACAACTACACAAGTCACAACCCGTGCGGTTTGTCTTCTATGTATTATTAGTCTATTAGATACCTCTTTACATTTTTGTCCAGTAATGACATGATCCATTTTTTTAGTATTAAAACCAATGAGAAGTGTTAAAGTCGATGTATTCCTTTCCTTTTGCAGATAATGACTTATATGCATACATTGTTTATGTCATTTTCAAATGTGAGTAAGAGCACCGACTGTGCCAGCCCATGCATAATGCATTCATCTCCAGCTCGATGGAATTTAGTTTGCTTTCCTTATCGCCGTGACAAAACGAAATCATTAAATTTATTAATATTGATTTCAACAACTTAATTGCTAGTCGCAACATTCATCTGGTGAGGGTTTTTTAGTCACCCGGAAAATAGTATTTGATATTGAAATGGCCGGTTAATGATCATCTACGGTAGATATTGGATCGATGCAAGGATGTTAGGTCTTCAAGTCGAAGTCTCAACAAACCAAAAGGTGATAATTTAGATGGTAGCAATAGAGTTGAATAAGTGGAAAAAAATAATATATAGATCTATATGTCTCGAGAATTTTAAATATATTCATCTCTCACTCATCCCATACTACGGATTAGTTCTCATAGCCAACTTAAACAGTCAAAGTTTGTGAAAATATCTAGGGAGTCAATTTGACTCAAAAAAACTAATTAAAATTGAGTTAACTAAAAAAATTATGATGGACAAAATTTTAGGTGGTTCTGTCATTAAAGAAGTGATACTTAAATTTTTTTATTTTTTTCAAATGTCCCTTCTCTTACAACCCATTCAATAAAAAAAATGCTCCCGCAGCACTTAAATAAACCTCAGTGTGATGCCTCACGTTTAAGGACACGTATAAGTGATTGAAAGATTAAAATTCTGTTTAGAAACCAGATCCATTTAGTCGGGTCGGATTTGGGCCGGATAAGGATAAATACAAAACAAAATATAAACTGGTTTAATTCATTCCAACATTGTCACCTCTACCAAACGCAGGTTAATTAAAATCTCAAATGAACCTTTTCAGAATTCTAAAAAATACATACTTACCAAACAGCTCTAAGGGAGTGTTTGGTACACGTCATTTTCCAAGATTCTTAAGAAATTGAATTTTCTTAAATTTTAAATTTTAGATATTATCATAAACTGAATGTAAAAATTATATTTTTAAAAATCAAAATTCTCAAATAAAAAAAAAATTCTCATCTATCAAACACCTCCTAAACACATTTTTGCTCAAAATAATCAATGAAGTAAGTATATAGGCAAAATAAAAGGTCCAAGTTCATGTTTCCACAAAAAGATATCCAAGTTCGCTAACGGGCCCGAGTCTTAAGTTACTGGGGTCCAGCTTCCACTCTTTCTCGCTCGCTTTTCTTTACGCTCTTATTGACTACAATTTCCGGTCTATTTTAGAGGATAAAAATTTTATATCTATTTTTTTTATTAATGATAACTGAGTCTTATTTATTTAATACATATGAAGATTGAAATAGATATAATTTTTTTTATAAAATCAGGTTATAAAAAACTTTTAACATAAAATTATAAAATAAAATAAAATTGATAAACAAAACTACCAAATTTTAATATGAGATAATTCACTCTTTTATATAATTTTTTTTGGCATGTAAATTGACCAAGTCTTTGACCTATCTAAAGAAAGAAAATATCATCTGAAAAAAAAAAAAAACTTCTTCAGTCTCCATGTTCTACCTGACCATTAAACCAGTGTTTTAAAACCCGACTTGGACCGGTCGGGTCAACCCGGTGACCC